GAGTGGAGTCGAACGCAGGCACGATCGACATTCACAACGACCCGCTGGTCGGCGAATTCTTTCGCGCCGTGCCCAACCAGTACTACCAATTTGCCGATGTCCGCGGGCTGGGTTACTCGTTTGAACTCAAGGGGCTCCTCGGGGACCTGTACACGAAATGCGACGGCTCTGTCCCCATGGCGATGCCCCGCACAGAATCCGCTTCCAACGCGACGACGCTTACAATCGACCACGTCGTTCAGCCCGTCACGCTCCAGGAGAACTTGAACGTGCTGTCGTTCGAGGACGCCGTGCTGGCGCAGGCAGCCAAGCAAGGGCTCACTCGCGACCAAGGATTCAAGGAATTGCGCAAGATGACAATCATGCTGCAGCAAAACTGCCTCACTGGCGACGTCACCGATTTCACGGACGAGCAAAAGAAGATGTTCCATGTCCAAGTGTCGCCGTCGTTTGCGATTCTGTCCAAGATTCAGTCGGGGGAAGACCCGATTCGAATCGACGGGTGGACCGACCTCCTCTTCAAGTACTATGGCTGCCACGGCAACGTCAAGGAGCAGTAGGGTCGCCTAGTACATGTATTCCTCGATGCTCACTCCTCTCGTCATGACAACGCAATCAGGATGATCGTTATATTTTCTACATGCCTTGCCTCATGTCGCCCCCAACGATGTCGCCACCGATCCTGACTGAAGCGATCTCGCGCCGCCGCGTGCTGGGCGCTCGAGTCGACGGTTTGGCAAGCCGGAGGGACTAAGAACGCACGACCGCGGCGGCCGCACACCGTCCACATGACGGTGTACAAGCCCCCGCCATGCTGGCACACGACTCACCCATTTGACGGCACCGTCAAAAACATGCGCCACGAAATTTCGTTCGATGGGGGGTTCGAATGAGGGTGGGTGTAGTATTCGTTACGTCGTCCTGCTGGCGGCCCCCCACCGAGTTCCTTGTCCCTAGCAGGCCACCAGTAGGCAGGCATGCATCCCGCCACGTCGGTGCCTCGGTGGACCCCTCTCGCGCTCGTGTTGTAGCACAACAACCATCTGCCGAGGCTGACCGACGCGCGCATGTTTCCTCCGCTGGTGGATCGTTCCCATGCCAATGCTTGCATCGCGATCAAACTGCTTTCGTGGGTTTGACGTGTGTCGGCGGGAGGTCTTGTTGCGTGGTTGTCATGCTGCTGCTGCTGCGCTCCTTTGTCGAGTTGTTGGTCGCATGTTGCTCGTTCTCGGTTGCATTGTTGGGAGGGTCGACGACGTAGCCGACGACACGCCATGGCCGCACATGTGGCTTCGCTTCAATCGCGACCGAGCGCCGAGAGGGCGAACTGGCGCGCCTCCCGCCCACCACGGTGGGCCGGGCCGTGGTTGTGGTACCACCACTGCGCGCGACAGACTGTCGCCAAGAATTCTGCTCCAACAGACATGGGTTGGCACCGGAGGGTCCGATCATTGGATGGGCGTGCGTGGCATACGAGGTGTGATCGTGTACAATGCTCGATGGGTTCCCTTTGCATCACGTGGACTTCGTGCTTCGGGGCGACGCGGTCACTCCGAGCAGAGTCCATCGACCGGCGGCCGTCGAAACTTTGGTGGGTGAGGGTCTGGACACACTGGTCGTCGACGGCAAACTCAGATGCGACCGTGCACATCCCCCACATGCGCTGAAACTTTGGCAGGACCCGTCGGCGGCGCGACTCGCACTGACCAATTCACCACGAAGCGGTACACCTTCCACGAGCGATGCTTCGTACTCTTGTCATCGCCAACGTTGTGGTCGCGTCCGTCTACGCCAATACATGCACGGTTTTCCCCGACGTCGACTTTGTTGGCAATGACATCGCGACCACGACCCGAGCCAACCCTGGCGACTGCTGCGCCGACTGCCAGGCCACCCCTCGATGCACCGCGTACAACTGGGACACGGGCGTTTGCTACCTCAAGTCGGCGAAAGGAGCTAGTGCTCCACTGCCGGGGGGTGTCTCGGGCGTCGTCGATGGCTTGACCCCCGCTCCCACAACCCCAAAACCGACCCCGTCGCCGACAAAAACGCCGCCGACGACTCCATCCCCCACGACGAATGCGCCAACGTGCCAACGCATCCGCAAGTCATGGGAAGCGCTCACCGCCGCCGAGAAGGACACGTACATTTCCGCGATCGAGCTCGCCATGGACAAGGGCATGTACCAAAAGTTTGTCCAGATTCACAAAGAAACCATGAGCAC